TCATGTATCCATGTGCATTTATCTGTTTGTTTAATAGTCATTCTGCCTAAGAACACACAAAGTAGGGATCATGAATGCCTGATGCCCACTGCAGTGTAGACATACTGTTGGTATTTCCTGGTATATATATATGAAATGAATAGATGTTGATGGTTAGGTCACAGGGGAAGAGACCATGGATAGTTCTCTTTAAATTTTAACTGGAAAAACTTCCATTCCTACCAACTGACTGACCCTCACTGAAATAACCATGGCTAATAGGATGTCATTCCCATCTCTAGTATTCCAGTGAGGTTCACCATGAGATATTAAAGTCCTTTTAGACCTATCTGCTTACATGCCCCTTGACCTTTCTAAAGCTCTTACCCCTTGCTGGATACAAGAAATTATAGGGGTTCTGTTGTTTTCTCTGCACTATTTGGAAAGAGAACATAGGTCTTTTGTTCTGAAATCCTCCTATCCATCTTGGTGTTCTCTGCCTTGCTCCTCTCTAGACCTGGCCTATAAAACAACAACTACTTTCAAGGACTAATTTTCAATATCCAGGTTATAGAATCAGCCTAGGTGTCTGTCAACAGATGAATAAAGAAAATGTGGTATATAAATCCAATGGAGTTTTATTTATCTCAAACAAGAATAAAAGTATACCATTTGTAGGAAACTGGATGGATTTGGAGAGTATCGTGTTAAGCAAAATAAGCCAGAGTCAGAAAGATAAGTGTCATATGTTTTGTTTATATGTGGGAAGCTAGAGGGGAAAAAAAGGGATTGGCATGAAAAATGAAAGAAAGGAAACCATTGAGGTAAAGGAAGGGGATGAATTGGAGAGAAGAAGGAAGAAACAGGTGCAGTACTAGGGATTGAAACCAATCAAATTATGTTATATGCATGTATGAATATGCCACAATAAAACTCACCACTCTATATAATTAATATGCACCACTACCAACAAAAAGAACCTAATTTCTTCTCTGCTTTCTGACCCTCTTGCTTTCCTCTGGTCTGGAGGTGTCTGTCAACAGATGAATAGATAAAGAAGATGTGGTATAAAAACACAATGGAGTTGTGTTTTTTTATTTTTAAAAATTTCTTAGTGGTGGATAGCAAGAATTCTCATCCATTGGTTAAGTGTTCCTCCAGGTTTCTCTTTTGCTTTTCCTTTTTTTTTTTCATTGAACCCAGGGACTTGTGCATGCTAGGCAGGCACTCTACCAACTGAGCCATATCCCCAGCCCTAGCAGGTTTCTCTTTTATAGCAGTATCTATTATACTGGTTGGACAGGGATAATGTGAAAGAGTATACAGGAATTTGGGAGAAAATACCCCAGGGTTAATGTTTCAAAAATATCAACTGGGCTAATTTCAAAGGAACGGAATTAGCTGTGGTTATCCTAAATTTCCAAAGTCAGTTTACTATTGACTCTAGAAAGACAAATGCATGCCACTTGAGAAAGAAAACAGGAGGCTTGCAAAATGAGTGAGTCTCCTGAGGTGCCTGTTCTTGCTGCTGTCATGAAGTTTCTCCTGAATAGTTGAGACTGTGATAAAATAAATGTCTGTCATGTTATTTAGAAGGGGTGACAGGCTGAGAGTCATTGAGCAAGTGACAAATTGTCCTTGACTTGGTAAGCTTCCATGCCGTCTTTGGTTGATATGGATCTTGTATTGAGTGATATACAGTGAGAGTTTCTTTTGTCAGTCCAGTGACACAATTTTAGGCAAGGAAAGCATTTCTCTGTGTCAGCTAGAGATGATAATAATAGATATCACCTGCCTTAATAACCTAACTACATCTGGAAAGTTGTGGGTAAACAAGATTTTACGCTTTATCATCAGGCTTCCAGACAGGGCTCAGGTAACTGTATGTAAAAATCTCATGCTCCATTGCATAATAGTTGGTGTTTGTAAAGAAAAACAAGCATTTGTTCCTTCACAGCAAGAATATATTACAAGTTTGTGTAAGGATTTATATTATCGTGCTTAACCACTGTGGCTTTTACAACTGCATGCTAGCTGGAGCACAGTAAATTACTGGAAAACCACCATGAAGCTTTGCCTGCTGTTTTGAAATCTTTAGAAGTTACAGAAAAACATAGCTTCATATGTCATTTCCATTCCCTTTGGGCATATCAACAGCCTGAGATGCCCCTCCTAATAACATGTCAAATTCTTGATAGAAGTTTTTCTACAGAATAGGTTACCAATCATGTATTTCTCTAGAATCTACTTCATTATCGAGAGGCCTAATGTAGTATTCAATACCTAACAAAACCAATGTGAGCAGGGTGTGGTGGTGCACACTGTAATCCCAGTGGCTTGGGAGGCTGACAGGAGGATTGTGAGTTCAAAGCCAGCCTCTGCAAAAGTGATAAGCAACTCAGGGAGACCCTGTCTCTAAATGAAATGCAAAATAGGGCTGTTGATGTGGTGCCCCTGATGTGGTTGATGAGTGCCCCTGAGTTCAATCCCTGGTACCCACCCCCACCCCAAAACAACAAAAAAACAATGTGAATGTACCTGTTAGGGGAAGGGAACCAAATGTTCCAACTTTTTAAATTGCAGTCATATTTAAAGACACCAGTAAATGGCCAAATGGAGCCTGAAGTGGATGAGTCTCCTAGCACAGAGCCACCCTTTCTATTGCAATTGACTTGCTGTTTGTGGAAGCAGCTAGTGCCTGTTGGTTGTCTTTTAGGGATGGGATGAATTCAGAATTCATCCTATCTAGGGAGAATGAAGACTAGGGAGAATATTTAAAACGAATAAGATGTTAAAGGACTCAAAATTTCAGAAAAATTTTACTTCTCAATAATGGTCATCTTCCAGTAGAAGGATTTTCTTTTCAGACACTGGAAAGCAAAAATCTAACAGCTTTTATTGGTCAGGAAAAAGGTTGTTTGCTATTCATCCAACACTAATGTAGGATAAGGGCACTTTTAAAGTTTTCCTGTTTGTGGTCTTAATTTCTAGGACAGATTTCCTAACTTAAATTTTGTTGTTGTTTTTGATCATAGATTATCACTGAGAAATAGGATGGGGGGAAGCTACAAAATAGTGTGCTGACTGCAATATTAAAGCTTTTAGGCCCTGAAGCTGACACAAGTAGCCAATTTTACCTAAGATATAAACACCTTCTACAGTAAAACAAAAAAAAGCCTTGTTTTGAATTAATGAAAACTTTATAGAGTAATCATGTATATAAGAATGGTAAGAGCCTACTTATCTAATGTGACTGGGACTGGTACTTGGTTGACTAGAGGAAACAATTTTAAAATGACATTATTAATTAAGATATCAATTTAAATCATATGCTACATTTTCTCTAATTTTTTGATGTACAGCCAACATCTAATGTCCTCTGATTTGAGTGCCCTTCAACTATTTGCATAAACCACATCCATAATATATTAATTAAGTTTTCCAGATTGATCTTCTATAATGTGGAATGAGAATTTAGCAATCTGAACTCATAATACTGGATTTTTACATGTTTAACCAACTTTTTAGAACTGTTTTGCCAATTACTCGACAGCAATTTTTTTCAATTTGTCAGTCGAGTCTTTTGGTAAACATTTGATTTATTAGTTTTCCTGTCAAAGATAACTGATATGTCATCAGTTTATATAGTATGTAAGTCATAAATTTATAATACTAAGCACACTTGGCATAAACAGACATAAACACAATGATTTGGGTAAGCACAGACCTCAACTGGAAGGGCAGAAGTACATAGGTGTGCAGAGAAGCAACTAGCCATGGGTACTCCCTATGGCAAGGGCAGGGTGAGCACTTGTTATACATGACTGGAGACTGATAGAAAATTTCTGAATTTGTTAAAAGGCCTTTAATTAAGAGAGTTTCTGCTATAAATACATTTTAATTAATATGCATAAGTAGTATGTCTTAAAGAACATTTAAAAAATGTTTGCCAGTATAGGTACTACAGAATTTGCTGTAATGAACAACCAAAGCTCACTTATAATCAGCAGAACTTTTCTGTATATACATAATTGGTGTTCTGAAGTGCTTCTCCCAGCAATCTAGTTTATACTCTGGTACTATAATTGGTTTGTTCATCAGAAGTTTTTTCTTAGATGAGAATAGATAATATTTTGGTCCAATTCTCATTGAGTATCACAATTTTTAAATTAATGATTTGGAATTTTAATGAACTATTCTATTTATATATGCTAGAGATCCTAAATACTCCTATCAGTGTTTTCAGTTAACATTTCTTTCTCCTAAATACTGGTAGCAATAAAGCTTGATATATCAAGAATAGTTTTAAATTGAAAATAAGTAAATATTGTTTTCCTACTGATAGAAGTGTATGTGTGTATATATGTGTATGTGTTTATACATAGACAGAAGGAGACCCAGAAAGAGGCAAAGAGAATGACACAGAGATGACAAAGAAAAAAGTCATACAGAGAGACAGTTTTAGATATTATATACTTATATGTATTTATATTTTTAATAAAAATGTTTATATTTATATTATATATAATCAAATCTATTATATTATAATTATATAAATTGGTATATATTTTATATATAGTACATATATTTATATATAAATGATGCATATATATGGATATAAGAGAAAGTGACAGAAACAGAGAAGGTAGAGTCAGAGAAAAAAATTAAAAAGCAGAGGAAAATGAGGCAGAAATAAAATGTAAGCAACAGAAACAGAGACCATGAGAGAGACTAAGTGAAACCAAACCCTCTAGTGAGACAGAAGAGCCACCCCAGCAATGTTGCTCAAGACTAGCTTCATATCTGCCCTCTACCGAATTGGATGTATGTAAGTTAGAGGCCTTGGGGAGACCATGTCACTGACCAGGACAGGGAAGCAGGCCCAGGGCTCACCAGGAGACAGTGTCATAACAACACTAGACCTACAACCTGGGCATTAATTAGGTCGTTCTGTACCACTTGCTCATATGTGTTAAATGTGTTTTCCAACTCTGAATGTATTTAAAATGTTTTGGCTGCAGAAAGGTACTAAAAGAAATCTCTGTTGGAGAGTTAAATCCAAATGAGACTGTGCAGGCCAATTTGGAAGCCCAGCTCCTTTCCAAGCTGGACCATCCAGCCATTGTCAAGTTCCATGCAAGTTTTGTGGAGCAAGATAATTTCTGCATTATCACGGAGTACTGTGAGGTGAGACTCTTCTTCTCTCTTGGAAATGTTAATAAAAGTCTGTTGCATAGTCAAAAACCTTATATAAAGAGCCATCTGGTCAATTATCAAACTATAAGTTAAACTATAAAGACTTGGAATCTCATGTCTTGGAGCTAAGAATAATCATCTCTAAGTAACTGACAAAATTCCTTTTAAAATTTTGTTGTTATTGCTGTAAATGGGCACAATACCTTAATTTTATTTATTTATTTTTATGCGGTGCTGAGGATGGAACCTAGTACCTGACACATGGCAGACTGGCACTCTATCACTAACCATAACCCTAACTCCAACAAAAATCATTTCTAATTTCCCTTTGGAAAATTCAGTAAGAATGAATAAAATTTAAGGAGAAATACATGCAGAAGACGTTTCAATATTTTTTGCAGAGGGTGTCCACCAAACCTTACATGGACATTTAAATACCCTAACAGAGGCCTGGACAGAGCAGAGGTATATCTCCTGAGTTTTGGCTTCTAGTTTTATGGCTTATTTTACTTAATGGAAATTTGAAAATGCAAATAATGCCCCCCACTGCTGAAATCCTTCATATATATTGATTTATGATTTATGGCTTCAGGTATTTGCAATTTTTCCTGCTACTCTCTGTTCTTTCCAAGTAACAGCTTTGTATTTTACCGAGCCCCAAGAAGGGGAAATTGACAACGTGTAGCTATAGTGCAGATCTGTTACTCCTGAGGGGTTAAGTCTGGGAGAGGTGGCAGGGTTGGGTTAGGCAGGAGAATATCTGAAGATAAATTACTCAAAAAGTATCTCCCAGAGTATTCTGGGAGCTAGGATTAGCCAAATGCTTCTCAGTATAATTTGGAACTGTTTAGAATGAATTTAGTCAGCTCATCACTTGGGTGTTTCTGGAACCCCAAAGAAACAATGTTGGGAAGAAAGAAGTACTTTAAAGTAGAAGTCAGGCTTTTTTGGGTCAGAAAGTTTGGAAATCCACATACAATCCGAAGGTGCCTGGTCTATCATAGGCAGGAGAAGGAAAACAAGCTCAGAAGTACAAATGGCAATGAAAACCAGCCTTGCCGGCTTTACACATCATCTGGTGTATCACCCAAAGTGAAACCAATAGCAAAATTTATTTGAATGAGTTGGAAGCATTCCAGATTTTGACCATTTTCCTTTAGATCAGCCTCCCCAGCTCAGCTTTGCTGGGTGTTTACTCACTTAGATCTTGCCCATCTTCTATTTGGAGGAAAGTGGGGAAAAAGAAGAAAACCATGTCATTTGGATATCATCTTCTCTGTTATCTAATGAACTCTTAAGAAAATCAATATGATGATGAAGTGTAAAAGAGTGCTGGTGGTACTGAACAGATTTTCTTGCAAATGTGCTACTAATCCATTCAAAACTATAGATATTTGCATAGGTACTGTACTATGATTCACTGGCTATAATTTTCTTCTTTAGCCCCTTTAGTTAATAAAAGTCTTATATCAGAAATAACTAACTCCAGCTGCTCGTGATGAGTACTTCTACATTCACTACTACCTTAGTCTTAGTTAATCTTTCAAAGACTCTTTACTGCCTGTTCTTAAAATATTTTAAATTGTACTTGGCACTGTTCAATAAAAATTACTGTGATGCTGGAAATGATTTATATTTGTGTTGTCTAACATTAGTCATACATGGCATTTTAGGTCTTGAAGTTTGGTTAGAGCAATTGAGGTATTGTATGTTAAATTTTATTCAATTTCAAATCATTTAAATTTAAATTACCCTGTGTAGCTACTGGCTAACATATTGGACAGGTCTAGATGATATGTTATAATATTCCCTAATTTTTTTCTATTTTAATATAATTTTGAACTACCAGACAAGTTACAAGAATAACACAATATACCCCTATAGATTCTTCATCCAGATTCCCCAATTGTCATCATTTTTCTACATTTTCTTTATCATTCTATCTATTTATCTATCTGTTGTATTTACCTATTTTTTTCCTGAACCATTTGAGTATACATTTCTTATAGTTTGGCTCTTGAATGTCCCCTAAAGGCCCATGTATTAAAGACTGAGTTTCCAGCCTGTGATATTGTTAGATGATGGAACCTTAGGAGGTGGGATCTAGTAGAAATAAGTTAGGTCATTTGGGTTGTACCTTGAAGGGGATATTGGGATGTTGGTGTCCCTCCTTTCTTTTCTTCCTGGCTGCCATGAGGTGAACAGCTTTGCTCCAAATGTTTCTCCCCACCATGATGTTCCACCTCACTACAGGCTCAAAAGCAATGGAGGCAGCTGACCATGGACTAAAATCTGAAACTATGAGCAAAATAAACCTTTTCTCCTTTTAAGTTGATTTTCTTAAGTCTTTTGTCATAGTAATGGAAAGCTGAGAAGTACAAAGTTGCAGACATGATGCCTCTGTTCCCCAAATACTACTGTATCTTATAAGGCCAAGAACCTTCTCTTATATGACCGCAGTATAATGACAAAAACTTGGGAAATTAACACAGAAATAATGCGAGTATATAATTCGGTGGTTTTGAAAGTGGGATTCCAGACCAGAATTATCAATATAACATGGGAACTTGTTACAAATACAAATTCTTGGCCTCCAGCCCAGTCTTACTGAATCAGAAATTCTGGGGGTGAGGCTTGACCATCTGTGTTTTGACAAGCTCACCAGGTGAGTTTGAAACAAGCTAAAGTTTGAGAATCACCCATCTTATTCATAATCCCTATTCAAATTCAGCCCATTTGTTCAAATTATGTCCTTAGAAAGGATATTTCTATAAAAATGGGTTTTGTTACACAGGATGCAATCTGGAATCATCTGCTTTAATTTTAAAATGATGGTGGTTTCTATGGATTGAGCTGCATTCCCAGCAGGGATGTTGCCATGGCGATGACTGCAGGCTGCACTAGAGAACAGCTGCGGGGCTTCCAGGGCTCTCTGTGCCCCTGAACTGTCAGTCTGCCACTTCCCAGGCTTCTAAGCACTGACGTGTGCAGATTGCTCCACTCTCTTTAGCAGAGATATTTCTCAGTTTCAGACACAAATTTACTTGTACAGGTCTGACATTATCTTCTTTTTATTAAGGTAAAATAATGCTACAGGAAATGGCAGGCGGCCAAACTTGCACCGTATAAAATATTGTTATCATCAGTGAAATGGATGATATTTTTATCCCCAAGTTCCCTTATGTGTAATTTAATTTGAGACCTTTCAAGACTGAAACATGTAAATGCGTTCATGAAGCCTCTACATCTACTACCCAATCCTTTGGGAGACATCACCTCATATTATGGGAGTAAAAAAGCAAATGACCAAACTCTCACAACTTGTCAAAATTTAACCACATCTTTGATGTGATATAGTTCCTAAACTACCAAAGAGGCAGAGTACTTCAGATATTGTTTTTTTCTGTTGTGGAGGAAGTGTAATTACTTGCTGTCCCATTTTCTTTCTCCATGGATTCATACATTTTCATCTCTGCTTAGGTCATTTCCTATCCCAGCGTCTTTCCTCTTAGCCCCAAATCTTCAAGTTTTAACCAGCATCCCAGGCCCAGTGTGAATTCTGGTTCCCCCTCTCCTATAACCAAAGGCTCCCATAAGCATGGTTCTTCTCCCACAAACAAAAGTTCCCATGATCTTCTGACTGAAAGTAACTCCCCATCACTCTGTCCCCAACTCTCATAGCATTTTTATCTTGTATGGTGCTCAACACAACATTCATCATATAAGCCATCTCAGACTCTCAAAATGTGAGATTGACTTTTTCCTGATTAATTTTTCTGTCACATCATAATCCTACATAGTGGACCACAAAGAAGTTAGCACTCAAGACTTTTCCCTCTTTTATTAATTCTACGTCATTTTGCTTCTAGCTTCTTCCTACCTCATTTCTGTAAAACACTGGTGAAAAAAAGATACAATATTGGGTACTCCCACCCATCATATATATCAAAAGTAATTTGTCCTACTTATTTGGCTGGTACCTAACAATGTACTGAACTAGAGACCTGTGAAATATAGCCCAAAGGTCTTTCATTTGGCTAAGGAGAAGACATCCTCAGAAAGCTTAGGATTAGTAGACACAATAGAGATTAGGTAAGGTCACATATATTCAGGAGAGAGGGGCACAGTTGTGGGAAGAACATATGGAATTTGGGCACAAAGCAGTAAAGGTTGGACTCCTCTATTCTCTGGTGATATTAACTTGCTACACAAAATTATATCAATGTAGTTATAAACATTGACTACACATGAGAATCACCTGTAGAACTCAAAAACTCCTGGGTCCAAGACCCACCTTCAGAAAATCTAATTTATTTGCTGTGGGGCATTGCTCAGCCAAAAGGATTGTTGAAATCTCTCCAGGTGATTCTAATATGCAGCCAAGGCTGTGAACTGCAAAAAAACAGAAAATGGTTAGTGTGGAAACCAACAGTCACAAAAGAAAAATGAGCCAAAGTTTAAGTACCACTGAGCAAAGATGACACCCAGATCCTGAGTATAGGCAATTCTACCTCTGGTTCTGGGTGTAGTTTTATGATTAAGCCACCAAACTTGTTGCTGTTACTCATAAAAGTCACCCAATTCATTCTCCTGGCGCCCTGAGCAACCTTCTGGTTCCAATTTGGCCTCTGATGCATGCCTTTTCTAAAAGAAAGATATGCTCCTTAAACTGACATGAGCTCCCTGTTGCCTTGGCAATTCCAGTTCTCATTGTTTCTGAATAAATTAGTTTTCTAGATTATTTATTGGTTCCTTCTGAGCTTGAAGTTCACAGGGGCAGCAGTAATTAAGTGTCTTTCCAAAAGCCATTACCGAGTCTTAACTCTGTGTTGGATACAATTCCTACGCATAGTATGGGATAACAGACATAATTTGGTAATATTTATTTAATGAACTTGTCTGGTAGGCTAAAATGAGTCATTTATATCAATGGTGAAAATGTAAGGGGTAATATGGTATCGTGGAAAGGGTGTGATTGAAGCACTGTTGCA